ACAAGCACAAAATATCACTGAATTTCTGATTAATGACACCAAAGCTGCCTGCTGGAAAGACACAAAAGCTCCACTACACCATCTGTCAGAAACTGGTTACAAGAAAGAAACTCAGAAAATTTCTTGGAGCTGCTGGTTTCTATAGAATCTAGATCCTGAATTCATAAAATCAATAATGCTAACTCAGACTGCTGGCCCCTAGGAGTGCTCAGTGGCTACCTGTGTAAATACTTGGATCAAGTTGCTAAGCGTTTCTGACCCCCTTCGTCTCTGTGCTCTACCAGCCACTGTACTTCTGATTAGAAAGCTGATAAGGTCACCTTAGAGATTTAACTGTCCAGGTGCCACATGCTGTACTGAAATCTCCTGAATAACTGTGAACCACTCAGTCCTTCCACATATCTGTCCACAAGACTGGGCCCACTCAATTATGACTGAAAAATAAACTGCTTGACAGATGCTGAGTACACCCTGTTTATGGATGGAAGTACCTCTGGTGGTAATAGAGTTCAACGGGCTAGATATCTGTGGTCACCTTGGACAAAGTATTCTGGCCAAAGCTTTCCTACTACTACTTCCAGCTGCTATTTGGAAACCTGCCACCAATGACCCCATTACACTTAAGCCCCCTCCAGGGATCAGACTGACTTAAACAGCAACCTCAACCAGGAAATCTTTACCCAGTACTCTTGGAAGATCCGAGCCAGACCTACCCTTACCATATGTTCTACAACCTCAAACTGCAGCTCTGGCACCCATACCCTTCCAGCCCGCTCAGGCTTCAGCACCTGTCACTGGTGCTGACCTCATATAGTGTTGTGGATTTTCCTTATTTAAAGACATATGGATAGATTTCACTGAAATACAATCTTACAGGAGTTACATATATTTGTTGGGGCTTATCAATACTGGCCCAAGAGTTTATAGGGTATTGCTACTGGTTATACTTGTAGATATTTCTACACACACATATAACCCAGCTAAATATTAACTAGCTTTGCAGGTTTTGAAATTCAGTCTTAGATGTGCTAAACTTACTTGGACCACACAGCTCCCTCTAAAGAGAAATACACTCAAAGACCTGCTCTGATCACTTCATACACTGACAAGTCCCCATCTGGCTGAAGTCTAAGGATACCACTCACAGGATTGCTCCAGACCTCAGTGCAGGATTCCTCTTGATTTTTGTACCTTTCCAGGCTGCTTACCGCTGTCCTTACTTCCCCATCTCCTTGCTAGCTGTGAACTTTTTGCCTTACACTCTATATGAAGAGTTTGCCCAAGAGAACACAACAATCAAACACTTGAACAAGATTTGACAAATGTCTAAGGCACACTGGACACTCTTCTAGATCAAATTAGCTCCCTCACTACCTTGCCAGAGTAATGTTACAGAACAGATAGGCCTAAATTATGTCTCTTCCTAAAGGCCACTTAGGGAACAAAAACAACCCCAAATAAGATCATCTTGGTGTTGTTGGCTGGGGCCATGCTAGGATCACTGTCAACACTAGCTGCTGCTTGTTTGGACTTGTCTCAAGTGATCACATGTAATATGCCCAGCAAAGACTTGCTGGGGAAACTATAGAAGGGGAAAGTGCAGCAGAAGATTCCTGACCTGTAGCTAGTATACTTCAATTTGTTAGTTGCCCAAGTAATAGTCCCAGTTCCAGTTCCTGTTCCTTTTCTTAGGAATGTCTGGTCACTGTGATGCATAGCTGGTCACTATTGTGCATTGTGAAAACCAATCCCCAACTATTAAGCCATTCTACTTCTGTTCTTCCTGCGTTCTTATCCTACATAATCCCTAGGCCACTAGAGATTGGGGGCTGGTATTTTGGAAGTGATCTCAATCAGTGCCTATCAACATAAAATAAATCTGCCTCTAAATCCTGGGTGTCATTTTGGTGTTTTAGCTTGCTTTTGAAAGGTGAGGGTTTTACCCGTCCTAGCTTCTATCTGGGAGTAGGGCAATCGATCTTCCAGCACCATGTGTCAGGTACAATAGTCACCTGACACATGTTGTAGGGCCTGGGTGGTGGCTTTGTATAGTTTTGTACTCAGTGTCCAGTTTTCCTGCAGGCCTTGATTGACCCTGAGTTTTCCTTTGGGTGAGTTAGGTGTGCTTACAGCTCTGGCAATTGCAACAGCCATTATTTTGACCTGCCATTCTTTCTCAGTCCTTTTGTTCTTATCAGATTCCAATTTTTGAACATAGAAAAGGCTGTGTTCAGCAATTGGATGATATGGCCCTAGAGTCCCATCTATAAACTTAACAAGTTCTTTTGAAAATAATGGGTCTTTCTGGGGAGCTAGGAAACAGGTGGGAGAGACCCATGTCCTCCTGGGTGACAGGTGGGCATCTGAGGACAGTGTAGTCAACAATATCAATTTCTTCCTTTGTGGACTCTTGTTTAAGTAGCATGGTTGTTGGGGCTTTCTGAAGAATCACCAAAGCCTGAAAATATGGTAAAGTACTTTCCTCATCTTGTGTAGAAAAAATTCTTGCCATAGTATTGTCATTTAGACTGCCATTCTGGACTCATCTCACACCATCCTAATGGGGAGGTATATGTGATCTGCTGGGTGTTTCTATGCTACATCGGCTCACTGACTCCTTAGAGGGAAGGGTGGAGCTCATCTCAGGGCTCCCTCAGAAATTCCCAAGAAGTCCAGGCTGAGCTCCCTTCCTCCAGGGAGCTCCCTGAGATCTTAGTGAAGTTGCATCCTGGGGGCTCCCGTAGCCATCTGGAAAACAAAATCACTTGCATCTTTCCCTGTGATAAAAATATTAGTACTATGTTTAAGGTGGTAGAGATAAAAACCTCTTTTTTAAAAACCTTACAAAATTCTAAGCACAGTCAAGGGTGGCTCTGCTTTTTCAAAACCACTTAATGGCTCTTGTGGGTACTTCAAAAGCTTGACATTTGAAATTAAGATTAATTATGTTTGAACTATTAAGCCTAACAAAGAATAATAAGCATACTCAATTATGATGTTAATGTGTTAGAAAATAATAGATCACACAGTTGATAGCCCTCAGAATGAAGTTTCTTCATTATCTCCATTCCTGTTGGAATTTATAAAATGCATTATTAACACATATGTAGTTCTGTATGAATATTGTATTATTTGAAACTCTAGGGCTGGGGAGATAGTTTGGAGCTCTAAGTCCCTGCCTTACAAGCACAAGGATCTGGGTTCCATGCCTGGTACCACACGCCGGTGGGCCTGGAACCCCAAGTGTGCTGTGCTGGCCACTGAAATCAGGCATGGTGGCTCACACCCGCAATCCTAGCTCTGGGGAGGTGAGACAGGAGGATCACTACGAGTCCAAGCTGTGTAGTGAGACCCTGTACAAAATAAATTAAGAAAATATTTTAAAGAAATTCTACATAATGACTTGGTTAAATTCATAAAAATGTATACTTAGATATGCTGATTAGATACATACACTGCTTGACCTTGTATCTCATTATAGTATAGTAATTTTTCAATAGGTATGTAAAATACTTTAAAATACATTATAGTTTGAGGTTATTTTCAATTTTCATAATTTTAGTCTACTATTTACATGTTAACAAGAAATACTAACATCATTAGTCATTAATCACTGAAGTAAACATTTCCATCTACTTTTTTTTTTTTCATCTACTTTTATTTGAAGCTTTTGACCTTTTTAAGTTGAATAATATAATTATTTTGGACAAGCTTCAGGATTAATCAAAATGTTCTTGATATTTTTATAGCCAAACAAAAGGTCAGTAATAAACAAGTCATCAATTATATGCAAATGGTTGCAAATATTGTCATGTTTTATTATTCTCATTTTCTAACATAAACTATAAAATTTCACTTGTAATTGTCATATTTTAAATATAATTTTAATTGAATGTTTACTAAATATGTTTGAGAATAATCACTTTAGTTAAATCCATGTCCTGTTTTTTAAACATACTTAGGACCTTTTCATAAGCAGCCCTTGATCATGCCTTTTTTTAAATCAGCTTAGCAATTTTTCCCATTTTACAAGACTCAGATCAAATGCCACCTTTTTTATTTTTGGTACAGGGTCTCACTACATAGCTCAGACTCATAGTGATTCTCCTGTTTTCAGCCTTCCCAGCTCTGGGATTACAGGCATACATCACTAAACCCTTACTTGGTCACCAGCTCACCGTGCCCTGGGACGGAGCTGGTGCAGCATGTGGTACCGGGACTTTCGTGGACTGTGATTACTTATATCCCAAAGCCCACATCCTAAAAAATTGTTTTATTTTACTCCACACTGTCATTCATAGCCCTTTGGTACTTAGATTATGAACTTCTCAAGAATATTTTTCAAATCAATCATTTTTTAATCAACAGTGTCCAGGGATCAATCCAGGAGATGTTTACAACTGTTGGTTGTGTTCATTTCATTTCAGTTTTATGGCTTTCAATCTGTGTCATGTATATATTGTTTCACAGAAAAATGTACAGTGTTTGGTGTCCTATTAAATGGTGGTTCTTTTACCCCCCCAAAAATCTGTCAGATCAGTTCTTGAGGCTTAACACTTATTCCTCAATCATAAAGCAATAATAATTATTTACACTTGCTTTCTTTTTATAACTTATTTTTTGCTCCCTGCTATCTCCTTGTCATTTCTCCTTTAGGGTAGTTCCTGTATGGAATTTCATCAGTGCCACTAGCTGTCCTCTCCCTAGAGATAACCCTTCTTAAAGGGCTTTAAGACAATAGTCATATAAGCGAGTTATAAATTTTTATATTGCCTTTTTCTCCCAAATGATCCTGTTTCTGTTATTCTTTACCCTGCTGTTGAATATTGTTTGGTTCCCTTTTTCACAGTGAATTAATTAAAGCAAGTATGACTTTTAAAGAGCACTATCTAAAGCTGGGCATGTCTATAATTCCAGGATATGAGAGAGTAAGGCTGGAAGATCACCTGAGTGCTGGGGTTGCATAGTAAGTCCAAGGCAGCCTGAGCTATACAGCAAGAGCCTGTTTCAACAAAAAAGAAAAAATATGCCACCCAACTGATCAATTAATAATGCTCCAAGGCAAGCATTAAGACTTGCCATAGTAGATTTTCAAATGTTTCCAAGACATTGTGACATCTTTATTTCCATTACCTATTTCATATTTATTATTTTAATTTCTCAGTAGAATATAAGCAAAATTATCTTATAAGTATCTAACGGTAGGAAAATTATTCCTTATATGATAGTGCACAATGTTGAAAGACTATTTTGCTGCCACAAAAGTAAAAATTTTAGGTTACATATGCAAATGTGAAGGATAAACTTAAAAATCAGAATTCAAATTGAAATATGTAATAATCATGATTATATGTCATATATTTTCACATAAGAGTTGAAAACAAGGACAAAAATCATCCATCTGTTATAATACAGCCAACTGGTTATGCTCCAAGATAAGCACAAAGCACTGCAATAGTACATTTCAAAAACTGTATCCTTTAAAAAAAAAACTGTATCCAGACATTGTGACACCTTTATTCATTTTCATTTTATTATTTTATTTTCTCAATAGAATTTGAGTTAAGATCACTTACAAATCCAACGGTAGTAAAATGACTCCTTATACAACAGGACCTTATCTTGAAAAACTATTTTGCTGCCATAAAAACCAAAAAATTTAAGTTATGCATGTAAATGTTTAGGATAAACTTTAAAAGCAGAATTCAAATTGTATTATGAAAGCATCATAATCATAGGTTATATATTTCCATGCAAGATCTGAAAAGGAGGAAAAAATCAATGAGATAAGGGAAGAACTTTGAGCACTTTAATTGTTTAAAGTGTTGTATAACTTTTATTTAACTTTTGGAAGTATATATAGTTTTACTATAAAAGTTCTAAATATATATTTCAGGGTGTGAAAGAGGCATTGGTATTCCTGTGCTCATTGCAGCCTTATTTACAATAATTAAAATGTAGAAGTAAACTAAATGTCCATCAATAGATGAATAGATAAAAACATGGTATATGCAGGCAATGGAGTATTATTCAGCTTTAAAGAAATCTTGCCATATATGGCAACATAGATGAAATCTGAGGGTGGACTAAGTGAAATAATCTAGTCAGAGGGAAGAAATACTTCATGGCTCCACTTATCTGAGACATCTAAAATAGTTGAGCTCTGAGAAAAAGAGCAGTGGTTGCTATGGACCTGAAAAGGAGGGAAAGAGAGTTGTGATGCAATAGGTATATATTTTAATTATAGAAGAGGAATGAGTTCCAGAGTTTTGTTGTACAACACTGTGCCTATAGTTTACACTACTGTACTGCATGCTTGCAAATGTTACAAGGGTCAATCTCATGTTAACATTCTTAATGTCACTGGATAGAATTGAAGAAGGTATTCCAAAGATGAGATGTAGACTTCAGAATAGTCCACTGAATAAGTTCTTGACTCATATCACAGAAAAAGAATTTCAGGGTGTCTCAGAGTGGGGAATAAATTAGGTTCATGAGGCAGATTTAGAAAATAAGGGAGAATAGGAAACAGACTTTAATTTGCATAACTGTAGGGGGTACACTCTGATACAGGGCTTTAGGCTAGCCTGCTTATAAAAGGATGAGGTCCGCTTCTCAAGTCTAGCTGAGATGGATAAGGATCTGGTTGATCATTATCTCAGTTCTGGTCTCTATAACTCCAGAGGAATCCTATGGCTTGAATGGCAATTATTTCCCATGAGATGACTGCTGTTGCTCAGGAGGAGGTTGCCTTGGTTCCTGTCATAGGGTAATGGCTCCTGCTTGGGGAGAGATGTTGTCATCATGGGGTGGTCTACCAAGTTCTCTTTACTGGAATCTAAGGTGAGTGCAAGTTTAGGGCAAAGACTGGAGACTTCTAGACATGACTCCATGAGGATCTGGAACTGAATGTTGTGAAAACTGTCAGTTGAAACTTGCAACCCTTAACAATTACTTCAGTAACTTTAAATTACATTAGTTACTCTTGTTTCATGTCTTCAGTCTTGAAGGAGGATGAGATAGACTAGGTAAACTGAGGGCTTATAAGCCTCGCAATACAAACACTCCTTAAATGATTAACACACCTACGTGCAAAGCTGAGCAGGGATCCAACCCTGAGGTTTAAGGTAACGAAACATGTAAAGCCTAGAATGCTATAAGTAAATCTTGATGAATAATTCTGTGTGGGTTCAAAAGACCAGGACACTAATAGAAAATCCCGACAAAAAAGACAATGCTCATGAGATTTGTGAGGGAAATTACTGAAAATGGAAGCGATCTGGTTTAAATGTATAACTAAATCATTCTGGTTTGTTGTGCTCTTATTGTCATTCCAAAAGTTAATATTTCTTCAAATATCTCATACAATTTTTTCTTGAGAAAACTATAAGAAAAACTCAATTTTAATCTACTCATTGAACAAATATTAAGTACATAATGTTGATTTCAAAGGGTCTGTGAAAACAAGCTTACAAAATGAGGAAATTAAAAATGAGCTGGGGGCTGGAGAGATGGCTCAGTGGTCTAAAGCACCTACTTGGAACAAGCTTGGCAAAGCATCAGGGACTGCGGTTCAGTCCCCCAGCACCACATGCCAGCCAGCCCCGCCCCCTGGTGGGCTGAGCTGGCCACACACACACACCACACACACACACTCTCTCTCTCTCTCTCTCTCTCTCTCTCAAATAAAAAGAAAAAATGAGCTGCTTTATAAAACAATACCTTCATTTACAGATTTACGTAAAACTTTAAATTTGTTTATCTGACTTTCAGAAGGAAATGTTTAAAGGGATTTGTTTTCCATTTATAAAAAGACTATTGTGTAAAATGAAGCATGTATTTTTAATTGACTCAAAAGACTTAGATAAAACTCCTAATACTAGTTTTGCCAGTTAAACAGCATTTGAAAAACAAGTTTTGAAGTGCCCATGATTACCAGCCTGCAGAAATCTGCAGATAACTATGAGGGCAGAATGCATTTTCTTTCAATAATAAAACATGCTAATCTAATATATTTTAGGAGAATTAAAATAAAATCCTTCAAGCAGAAAAGGATAATTTACAATCAAATTCTGACATACTGTTTGTATTCATCTAACAAAAAAGATGTTTTACACATATACATGTTATAACAAAATACAAAATAAACTTTGTTCATTTCCTCATTGCCTGTCTATAATCAGACCTTTTAATTGAAAGCTTTTAATTTAAGTCTTACAAAGAAGACCACTCCACATAAAGCCACAGAACATAAAATTTCCATAATGTAAGTATTTCCCATGGACTACTTTTCAAAATAAGGAATTCTTATTTGTCAGACATTTAAAGGAAGTTGACTGGTATACCACTGTGGAAATCAATGTGCAGATTCCTCAAAAAACTAGGATTAGAGATGCCATTCGACTCAGCTACTGCCCTTCTGGGTATTTCTCCAGAAGAACTGAAAACATCATACCATGGTGATATATGTGTAATCATGTTTATATCTGTGCAATTTTTCATAGCTAAATCTTAGAAACAACTCAAATGTTCATAAACTGAGGAATGGATTTTAAAAAGATGTGGTAGTTTTATACAATGGAGTATTACTCAGCTATAAAAAAGTTAAACTCAAGCCTTCTCTAGGTAATTGGATGCAACTAGAGATCATATCTGTAAGTGAAATAAATCAGACCCCCCTGTGTAAAAATCCTGTCTGCCTAATGTAAGACCGAAAGAGTAAACAAAATCTAAAAATACAATAAATATTGTGAAAGGGAAAGAAACTGCTCAAAAGGAAAGAACAACCAGGATGGCTAAAGAGAAAAGAAAGAAAAAAAAAGAAGGGAAAAATATAAATACACAAGATAGCTAAGAAAACTGTACTTCTAATTTCTATTGCTTTATTGAAAGGAACAGTCGATGCCTAATTGCTTAATCAATTTTGCATGCCTATATCTGGTAATTTGAACAACTATTTTGAAGATAACAATATGCAACATAACAACCATTGTTAATTTCCTATCATTTTGTTTTCAAATTCTGCATGTTTTATTCTCTTTAAAATAAAAAAGAATAAACCCTCCAACCCAAAAGAAACATACAAAAAAAAACTGGCACACATTAAAATTGAAATTGCTCTGTAGAAATGGAAGGGAAATTTGTGTACCAGAATTTGCCTATAATTTGATCAAGTTGAAGATACTCATACACTGTTGAAAAAATACAAAACAAAGCATAATGTGCCTGTCCAATGTGCTCTGACCAAGCAGTACTGAGGCTGATTTTTTTTTTTTCAGACATACTTACACAGAAGTATTTCCTCCTCAGCCAGAAATAACAGAGTGAGACTAGCCAAGAGTGAGTCATATGACCATAAACAAAGCTGCCAGTGCATTTTTTCCATTTCATGTGCCTGTGGAGACAAAAAATTGGAAAAGCAGATCCATTTGGAATGTTAGGGTTTTTATATTCTGTAAATTGCAGTACAATAGCTATTAATGCTGTTTTAGGATTACTTGTGAAACTCAGCTCTAATATTTGAATTTCCTCTCAGCCCAACATACTCAAATACCTAGAATTACTAGGCTAATTTCATCTATATAATTGGGTTGTTTAACCTTGCATTGGTCCTTCAGAAATTTAAAAATATTCTGGCATTCTTGGGAAGAAAAAATTCAGAGTTAAATGAATACCAGAGAAAATGCTTTTAAGGACAAACTTTAATCAAGTTGGACACATTGCCTAGTGTCTTTATAATGAAATAAAAATCTTAATTTTCTTGAGTATTTTGTGTTGGTTCTAAATTAGCTACATTCCGAGGACTTGAACTTCAACTGGGTTCCTCTACTCTGTTAAGTGCATAGATGGCTCTGGAAAAAATCAGACTGGATTCATATCCTCAAAGAGTTGGTCAAGAGATATGGATGTGTACCCTGCCAATCAACCACTGTAACCAGAATAAATTTACAAAACGCCTAACATTCTGTGTGCTCAGACTGCTTTGCCTGAATTAACCTCATATAAACCTAAGCTAATCTGAGTATTATAAAGCAATCTTAATTTACACCTGAGAAGGTTTAATGGAGTTATACAATGTGGCTCAGGTCAATCAAAAAGACACATCCGCGTTTGCATGTGCTGTGTGTGTACTCTCTGGGGCTCCGCGGCGCCTCTGCCACAAAGGCTGTGAAGCACGCGCTGGGACGGCAGGAGCCGGGGGTTCAGCCCCAGCCCCGCCGCCGCCGCATGCCTGGCCCGCCACATCCCGGGGCAGGGAAGTCGCCGCAGGTCCTCGGTACAAACTTACTCTCCGCGAGGCGGGGCGGGCGGGCTGGGAACCGATAGGAGCGCGGTGCCGCCGGCCCGGCGACGCGCGTGGTCCCTTCGGCGGCACGGTCGCTCGCCCCGCCCCGCCCCGCCGTGAAGAAGCCACCCGCCCGAGGCGGCCCGAGGCGCGGCCCGGACGTGGGGAGGCGCCGGCATCCTCGCGGAGCTCGGGGCGCACTTGGCCTCGAGCCTCCCGCCCCCTCCTCCGGCTGCAGCGACGAGGGGCGGCGACGCGCGGGAGGCCAGGACGTCACCGGCGCGGTCGAGCCTCCAGACCGCCCCCGCGCGCCTTCCTCCTGTCTCCTGCGGTGACGCCGCGGCCCGGAGACCGGCACTCGCGCGCGCCCGCCCCAGCTCCTTTCGCGGAGGGGTCGAAGATGGCGGCCTTCAAGCTGCTCTCGTCGGGGCTCCGGCTCGGCGCCTCCGCCCGCAGCTCTGGGGCTGCCTGGTGCAAGGTAACGCGAGCGCGAGGAGCAAGGCGCGCGCAGGGGAGCGCGGCCGCGGCCCGGGCGGTGCCTTCTCCCCCGCGCATCCGCAGCGCTGCGCGCCGAGCGGGATCCGCAGCCCGGGCTCCCGCGGGGCCGC